GAGGTTCGAAGGGCTTATATCAAATTGGGGCCTTATCAACCTAAACTTTTTGAGTATCGAAGGACCGTGTTCGGGCAACAGAGACGTCGGTTTCAATATTCTTGGTTCTCACAGTTTCCATGGTTAGAGTATTCTCCTTCATCACACATGGCATATTGTTTACCATGTTTTGTTTTTGAAAAAAATCCAGCAAGTAGGTCTGCACTAATTACTGATGGGTTCAACAATTGGAAAAGAGTAAATGATGGAAAGAATTGTGCATTTCTGCTTCATGTTGGAGGTCCATCTTCACCACATAACAACTATATAAGATGTGCTGAGGACTTAATGAAATCATCTCAACATATTGAGAAAGTTATTCAGAAACAACCGAAAGAGCAAATATTAAAGAACCGATTACGGCTCAAGGCAACAATTGAGAGTGTTCGGTGGCTTACATTTCAAGCATGTGCTCTTAGAGGTAATGATGAATCGATAGACTCAATGAATCGTGGAAATTTTGTTGAATTGATAAAATATACAGCTCAATGGAATGACAAAGTTAATGAAGTTGTTTTAGATAATGCTCCTGGAAATGCTAAATATATCTCAGGGTTGATTCAGAAGGAAATTTTGCATATTCTTGCAGACAAAGTTCGAACTAAAATTCGTGAAGAAGTTGGAGAATCGCATTATTGTATTCTAGTTGATGAAGCAAAAGATGCATCTAATAGAGAGCAAATGGCTATTGTGTTAAGATTTGTTGATAAGGATGGTTTTGTACGAGAACGTTTTTTTGAGATTGTGAGGGTTGAAGATACTAGTTCTTTAACACTTAAACAAGAGATATCTCGGGTCCTTATTAATTCTAATCTCCAAATTGATAAAATGCGAGGTCAAGGATATGATGGTGCTAGCAACATGAGAGGTGCATGGAATGGACTACAAGCATTATTTCTTAGAGATTGTCCTTATGCATATTATGTGCATTGTTTTGCTCACAGACTACAATTAGCATTAGTTGCTGCGTCAAAAGATGTGGCTTCTATTTGGTTGTTCTTTTCAACATTGAATTCAATTATCAATCTCATCACTGCTTCCCCCAAGCGCCATGGTCAGTTACAATCTACTCAAAAAATGGATATTGCAAATATGTTGGGTACTGGTGAACGTGCGACAGGTAAAGGGGCTAATCAGATTGGTACTTTGCATCGGCCTGGAGCTACTCGTTGGGGATCTCATTATGATTCTTGTTCAGACTTAATAGATATGTATAATGCATCTTGTACAGTTGTTGAGACCTTGATTAAGGATGGAGCCTCTAACTCTATACGTGGGGAAGCTACTGGTACTTTCCAAGCGATGACATCTTACAAGTTCATATTTGTCTTGCATTTGTTAGAAAAAATAATGGGATTTACTGATAGCCTTTGTCGAGCATTACAAAATAAATCTCAAGATATCTTGACAGCTATGAATTTAGTTCGTAGTACAAAAGATGTTCTGAAGAAATTTAGATTGGATGGATGGGATATTTTCTTAGAAAATGTGGAATCATTTTGCAAAAAGCATG